CACATTATCCTGTTTTAATGCTCTATACAAAATTTCTTACCATATCTCCTTTAGTAGATCATAAGCTCCTTGTGAACAGAAACTGAAAGTAGCCCTTTGACTTCATTACTATAAGTAGTCTGGCATCTGGGCAATTCTTTTTTTTTTTTGTTTGTTTGTTTTTGTTTTTGTTTTACAGTTATTTTTATTTTTATATTTTTATTTATTTTTAAAATTTCTTTTCAGTGTTACAGAATTCATTGTTTATGTACCATACCCAGTGTTCCATGCAATACGTGCCCTTAATACCCACCTTAATACCCACCACCAGGCTCACCCAACCACCCACCCCTCACCCCTCCAAAACCCTCAGATTGTTTGCATCTGGGCAATTCTTAGAAGGTTCTCAGTATGTATTTGTTAAATGAATGAATGAATTGGATACTCCACAACCATAGAGCTATTTTGTGATATGCCCAACACTTCCCATCTCTATTTCTTTCCCTTTCTTCCTTTTTTTAAAATGGTTGATCATCAGATGTTAACTTAACCAAATCCTCTTAAAGTTGGCCCAGAGTTTTATGTGGGTTCACCAAGACCAGAAGTTATGACTGGTGGCTGGCTGAAGCCACAGTTGCATATCAACCAACAAGTTCTTTTAAAATGACATGTCTTAGTGGAGATTTGATTGACATTTGTATGGACTGCCAAAGCAGCTCTCATCACACACCACCATGGTACCGTGAGACTGTTGGCAACTTAAAATTCTTAATAAGATGACTGGCTCAGTGCCCTGCCAACAGCACCACTGTTGGTAGATGTCTTCTCGTGGATGTTATTGATGACATAATAGTTGAAAATCCTTGGTGCACCTGGGTGGCTCAGTGAGTTAAATCTCTGCCTTTGGCTTGGGTCATGATCTCAGGGTCCTGGGATTGAGTCCAGCATTGGGCTCCCTGCTCAGCAGGGAACCTGCTTACCTGTCTCTCTCTGCCTGCTTCTCTGCCTGCTTGTGATCTCTCTCTCTCTCTCTCTCTGTGTCAAATAAATTAAAAAAAAAAAAGAAAGAAAAGAAAATCCTTGCCAATTGTTTTGAGGGTTCTCTACTCTTGCACATGTCCTCTTGGATTAATTTATATTAACTGGATTCATTGGTAGCCTGGTTTCTTTCCACAGATGTTAAATCTGCCCTCCATAATGGCAGTTAGAGCCATTGAGAAGAGGGTTTTATCACAGAGAAATTGAACTCAAGGTAAGCCAGCCAGTTTGTTTGTTTGTTTGTTTAGAGGGGTGGGGGCAGAGTGCCAGGGAGAGGGAGAGAAAGAATGTTAAGCAGGCTCCACGCCCAGCATGGAACCCGACACAGGGCTTGATCTCCCCACCTGGAGATCATGACCTGAGCTAAAATCGGGAGTATGACACTTAACTGACTGAGCCATCCAGATGCCCCAGCCCAGCCAGTTTTGGTCCCAGGTCTAACAACATCATTTGGATTCAAACAAGCCCGAATAATCTGTGTACCGAAGTTGTATGTTTCTGTAAAGTAGAATTAATATGACTTCTCTGTATGCCAAGTGAGTGTTATAAAGAAAGATAAAGTGACTAGAATGAAAGTTCTGTGAAATAAAGAAACACCTGCAATCAGTTATTACGAAGGTGAGATGTTATTTTACTTCTCTGAATGGTAAAACTTACAATATTATTTTCAGTTCTGAGGTCTGTGGTTGCAGTGTGGTTTTATAAGTATCTATTGAGCATCTAACGTAGGCACGGCCTTGTGTGTTATGGAAAACTGGAAGAACTGAAAAAACACAATAATGTGATAAGTAGAATAGAAAATAGATTTTTAGACAAATGGATAAAAAGTGAAATTATTTAGTTTTCAGGGGGAAAAAGGCTGAGTTCAGGCCCATTATACACACATTGTCTTATTTTCAGAAGGGAACAATATAGAGGCAATATTCCGTCTGCTATTTAGATCACAAAAGGGAAAACCTTACTGCTCCAAGAAAGAATTTCTGTGGAAACTTGCATTCTCTTCTTGAAAAGTTTAAAGGGTATTTCTAAACTGGTTTAGGTAGTTTGGTCTGTTAATAGGGAGACATGGAGGCTCAAAGCTCATGATAAATTTGGAAACTATCATGGTTTTTACTCCTACTTCTACGTAGTGTGAGTGTAATTGTACCAGCTCATGACTTTAACTCATACTCCTGATCAAGATATCAGCCATAATGTCAAATAAAAATAACACTGAAACTTGCAATAGGTTCACTGAATGGCCCTTTGGTAAGACCTACCTTTGAACTTCAAGGGAGACTTAAAAAACCCAAAATGAGATAGAGAAAGCAGCTAGGACCCCAGAAACACTTACAGCTTCCTGTGATCATGAAGGTGGGGAAAAGAAAGGCATGGAAAGGGTGAGCATAATCTTTAAGTAAATTCTAGTTACCTGGAAACAAGTTTTGAACTGATTTTTATATCCACAGAGGACAAAATCAGACATAACAGTTGGAATGAATTGGCAGGCAGTTTTAGAAAGATCATACAAGCTTGGAAGCTGGTGATCTCTACCTTCCTGGAACTGAAGTAAAGATAGCTGGGGAAGAAGATCAGATTGCCTGCAGTGAATGAAACTTAAGTTGTGGTTCACAGTGAGAGGGTGTTTGTAAATTTGTAGGAATATTTTTAATAGTCACAAGGAAGTTTGCTGACTGCCCTTCTGTGGACAGGAAGCAGAAGTGCTAGATGTCCTGAAATGATCAAGAAAGGTCCAAACAGAAAAACTGTCTCACGTCCCACATCCCACATACCTTTGTAATGTCACACCACTATAGATCCACTGTAAAGTACTTTACCACATGATAATATTGGAAAAGTTTTTCAAGAAGTTAGGTAAAATAATTTAGAAGAAAGTTGTCATGAAGAAGAATTAAGGTGTTATTTAGAAATTATTCAATAATTTCATTTTTCTGCTCATGGTATATATTTAATGTGTTATATATTTCCAACTACCTATTTAATTTTAAAGGGTTCCAGTGCAAGAATTTAATTTTTGCCATGGCAAATATGAGACACACACAAAAATATTTAAGACTTCGTGTCTTATGTTGAATTACAGAGATATACAACTATTGGGGAAACTAGAAAAGACTGTGCTTTGTTCTGTTTGGGATTTTCTTTTTTCTTTTTTTAAAGATTTTATTTATTTATGTGACAGAGAGAGAGATCACAAGTAGGCAGAGAGGTAGGCAGAGAGAGAGGGGGAAGCAGGCTCTCCAATGAGCAGAGAGCCTGATACAATCCTAGGACCCTGAGATCATGATGGGAGCCTAAGGCAGAGGCTTAACTCACTGAGCCACCCAGGTGCCCCTTTTTGGGATTTTCTAAGAGTTTTCTAAAGGTACATCACTGCCAGCAATGCTACTCAGGGCGTATAAGCTGCTTATAAGACACCCTGGATCAGTCTATTTTTCTTTTTTAAAAAATATTTTATTTATTGATTGATTTGAGAGACAGAGAAGGAGAGAGGCACACATGTAGGGAGAGGGGCAGAGAAAGAGGGAGAGAATCTGAACCAGACTCCATGCTGAGTGCAGAGCCCAATGTGGGGTTCGATCTCATGACCCCGAGATCATGATCTGAGCCAAAACCAAGAGTCAGATGCTTAACCGACTGGGCCACCCAGGTGCTCCTCTACCTGGATCCATTTTACTTAAAGCTGCACATCTGAACATGTGTAATAATGGTGACAATTTGACATTCTTATGACTAGACTTAGATACAGAGTCTAAATAAGCAGATGTCTGAAACAGTGATGTAAGTTGCATTAAGCATTTTGAAAATATTTGTATTGCTATTCTCTATATTTTTCCTTTTTGAAATAGGAAAAGGAGATCTCTGCCATGAGAATGACACATTGACATACATTTCCAGCTTGCGCCTTGGATACGGAGACTACCCCACAACTGTCTGCCAATCTATCCTTTTTTGCCTGCTGCTGATTATGAAATATTATCTTTGAGGTCCCTTTATGTATCAGAAACTAAATGTATACTTCACTACATGAAGATTGTTGAATGTAGAAGATGCGTTCTGTGTTAAATAGTGTCACTTCCTAGTTGTATTTCATAAGATAAATAATTATTTTGACACTACGCTACACAATAATTTCTAGCTCATTTGTAAGAATATTATACTTTCCTCATTTTCCCTCATCTACAGCCCATTATTTTTCTTGGCATGTTCTCTTTACTTTAATTAAGGTTTTTTCCTCTTTCTCTCATCATATGCAAATACATCTAGTCTCTTATTATAATAACGCTAGGTTTTAGTCAAGGGTCCACCTGTAGTTATGCTTGCTCAGTTATTTTATTCACTCCCCCATTTACTTTTTTACTTGTCTGGAAGGACTACTGATTTCCTTTGCGTCTTGTAAACTCAAACTTTTTCATTTTGATTAAGTGTAGTCATTAGGCAATTTCATTATGACTTACAGAAAACTGTATGTGAACAAATACGCAGGAGATCCATACAATTTTGTTATACATTTTTTTTTTATCTTGGTTTTAGATTAGCGTTAGGAAATTATGTCAACTTAGAAAATCAATATGTGGATGATTTGTGTATGAGTTTCAATTTGAGGTATTAAGGAGGACATCCCATAATGCTCCTATGAGAAGGGATTGGTGTCTGGCACCACACTAGATAACCTCTAAAGTCTTGTCTCCTCTAAATTCTCAGACTCCTTGGTTTCTCTAATCTCACTAAGGATGGTGAATACTCTTGCCTTTCAGCAGAGTAAACATTCCATTCACAGAAACTCATATTAAGTTGAACCTAACTCTTTTAGTAGTATACATGTTTATTTTGCACTTACAAAAGAGAGTGAGCCATATTTCCATTATTTAACTGAATTGAGAAGACCATGACAAATCAACGGATGCAAACACCAGTTCTCTGGACATGACTATTTTCACACATGCACACACACACACACACACACTCGTGTGCATTCTTCTTACCTAACTTGACCAGGTGGAGCATGGAGGTATTACTTCCTCGTTCTGTGCAAGCGGTTACTGAGAGGTTGTAGATATCTCCTGGAGGCAGGCTGAGAATTGCAGTCATGATATTGCGTGTGACCTGCAAGACCCATCAAAATCGGGGTTTAAACTTCTAATGAACTTGAACTAGAATACGGCTCCAGACAACTACGGGGCTATAGCAGACATTCCCTCTCTGTTCTGTGTAATCAATCTACAGTTGATTACAAGCTAATGGATACTTTATTTCCTTTGAAAATGATATAAAGTCCTCAACTGAGCCAAATGCAAGGTAGCTCTAAACATGCATAGTACGTATCAGAATATTTTCTGCAATTAATTTTCTATCTGGAATATGTATTCCTTTGATATATTTCCTCATCTTCACAGCAAATTTTAGAAAAGGCATTTGCTAGGTTGGTACTGATGTGTACATTACTCAGCCTTAGCTGGGAAGCTCAGAAGAAACCTAGTCATATCTATAGCTGCCTGGCTTCTTATTTCCCAGTCTCCCTATGGGTAGAGGAGACCATGTGACCCACCTCTGACCAATCAATTGTCAATGGAAGTCACATGGGCAGCTTATAATTCTGTTCATGCTGGGCTTCCACATTTTCTCTTTTCCTCTCCCCGCAGGCTAGAATATGGATCTAATGACTAGGAAGGTTCACCTATGCAAATGAAGACTACACCATGGTAGATGGAACAACAAGATAGAAAGAATATGGAGCCCTGGATGATTGATCCCTTACAGCAGAGGTGCCCTGATCGTCCTGTGCTGGCATGAGAGAAACAAACTTCTATTTTCTTTGAGCCACAATCTTTGTTGTTCTTTTTTTTTTTTTTTTACAGTAATGTAGTCTCTACCCTAACTAATGCAATTTCAAAAAGTTTAATAAAGCAGGAGAAAAGAAATCAGTATTTCCAACATACCCAAATATTTAAGCATTTTTGATATATAGAGAAAATATCAAAACATATTAAATGTGGTTTTCTTGAAAATATTTGCCATCCTGAAGGAAAAGCTCAAATTGTTAACTGTAAATGTGAATTAATTACTAGTTATAACTATTACAGCTCAGTATTAAAGATTAAAAGTGAATTCTATGAAAGGAAGAATGCAGTTTTTCTTGATTGTCCTTTCTTCATTGTCCTCTCATGGTACCACCTCACACCTGTTAGAATGGCAAAAATTAACAAGGCAAGAAACAACAAATCTTGGAGAGGATGTGGAGAAAGGGGAACCCTCTTACACTGCTGGTGGGAATGCAAGTTGGTGCAGCCACTTTGGAAAACAGTGTGGAGATTCATCAAAAAATTAAAAATAGAGGTACCCTATGACCCTACAATTGCACTACTGGGATTTACCCCAAAGATAAGAGACGTAGTGAAAAGAAGGGCCACATGTACCCCAATGTTCATAGAAGCACTGTACAATAGCCAAACTGTGGAAAGAGTGGAGATGCCCTTTAGCAGACAAATGGGTAAAGAAGCTGTGGTCCATACATACAATGGAATATTACTCAGCCATCAGAAAGGATGAATACCCAAGTTCTCCATCAACATGGAAGGGAGTGGAGGTTATGCTGAGTGAAATAAGTCAAGCAGAGAAAGTCAATTATCATATGGTTTCACTTACTTGTGGAGCATAAGGTATAACATGGAGGATATTAGGAGAAGGACGGGAAAAATGAAGGAGAGAAACCAGAGGGGGAGATGAACCATGAGATACTGTGGACTCTGAGAAACAAACCGAGGGTTTTAGAGGGGAAGGGAGTGGAAGGATGGGTTACCCTGGCAATGAGTATTAAGGAGGGCACATATTGCATGGAGTACTGGGTGTTATCTGTAAACAATGAATCCTGGAACATTATATCACAAACTAACAATGTATGGTATGGTGGCTAATATAACATAAAAAAAATTGTTCTCTCATGGGAGCCTAAATTAGTGCCAAGAATCATAAGACATCTGTTTAATGTTTCAATAAATGTTTGCTTAATGGTTTTCAATAGTTTATGTTAAAGAATATTCAGATGCCCCATGTTGGGATTCAAAGAAACATACACTCTTTTTAATTTTCTTCTTTCCTTCTGCAACAACCATCCAGTGTAACATTCTAGAATGGGAGAGGTCAGTTGTGTCATCACCGTATGTCCAACTGATGTATAACAGACTGTTGTAATACTCCACAGATGTGATTTCTGGAGCAACTGGGGCTACGAGGAAAAAAAGAGGCACTTTAGTTTAAAAGACTAATAATAATTAAAGTACTTCTCAACAGAGCATGAAATCTCATGTAGAGTTAGTTTAGAGCATTAAAGTTCACACCATACGATGGTCCCAGGGATCCCTGAACCGCTCAGTAGTATGGCGCATGTTGGCTGTAAAAGGCAGATACTTGTTTTCTGGGACCCTACCTTGTATGGCTCAGACACAATGCAGCCAGACCCATCCGTACCTGAGGGTATCAAGTCTTTTATACCAATTTCACAGCTACAAGATTCCTGAAATACTCACTTCTTTGAGTATACTTACTGCATCAATAAATTAATAGTGTAAGACATGGCTGAACTTATTTTCCAAGAATACTAAAAAATTGGGGATCCTATAAAAGTAAATTTTTTCATTGTGGTGCAGCAAAGTGTGTATGGAAATAAAGGACAGTAAGGTCAATACTTAGAGGGACAGAAAATAATTACTGTTTCTATAAAATAACAAGGCAATATCATTGATCGCGTCTAACCAGTGCTTTGCAAAAAGCAGGCTCTTAATAAATGTTGCTAAAGCAAGTAGTACGGGAAGGAAAAAGGGCTCTTTGCTAAATTCTAACACTGAGTTTATTAATTCTTAAAATTTTCTTACACATTTAAGTTTAAATAATTTCTAGTGGGGAGGAGAGTTCATTAAAAGCTTTATGATATATGAGCTCTGAAAGCATATTTGAATTATTTTTAAAACTAACTGATAATTCTGAGGATTTTAGGAAACACGTACAGAGTTGAATGTAAAGTCCATGTATGTGTATGTTGGTTTGAAGACAAGCAGATATTCCATTCTGAGAGACAGCACAAAACCAGTTGAAAGACTTGGAGGAGAATTTCCATAAACCATGAAGATTCATCTTCCTCAAGATGCTATTAGTACTCATAATAAGCATAACTATGCTTTCAAGAACAATTCTTCACTAAAGAGATTTGTAGTGCACCTGGGTGGCTCAGTGGTTAAGCATCTGCCTTCAGCTCAGGTCATGATCTCAGGGTCCTGGGATGGAGCCCCATATCGGGCTCTCTGCTCAGCAGGGAGCTTGCTTCCCGCTGCACCCCCTCTCCCCGCCTGCCTCCCTGCCTACTTGTGATCTCTCTCTTTCTGTGTCAAATGAATAAATAAAATCTTTAAAAAAATTTAAAGAGGTTCGTAATATATAGAGTAAAAACCATTTCTGTTTCAGGGGTGCCTGGGTGGCTCAGTTGGTTAAGCATCTGCCTCAAGCTCAGGTCATGATCCCAGGAACGTGGAATGGAACCCCGCGTCAGGCTTCCTGCTCAGCGGGGAGCCTGCTTCTCCCATTCCCTGTGTTCTTCCCCCTACTTGTGCTCTCTCTCCCAAATAAATAAATAAAATCTTAAAAAAATTCTGTTCCATGTGAAATTAGAGTAGTATTTCTATAGGTTTGACAATAAAATCTTGAAATACCAATAATGTATCTAGCAAGTAACACAAATCTGCATCTTATTTCAGAATAGTCTAATAAAGAAAATAATACTTTTGGCTTCTTTTCTCTTAATTTATTTCTATGTAGTTCATTATATGTATGTATGTATACTTGTATTTCTTTGAAGGATATTTTCTCATGTTTTAATTCTAGTAAGGACAAGAGATGTATATAAAATTGTGAATCCAGAAGTGGAAAGCTCCCCCTCATGGGTATTAACCAAGTCTTTAGATTTTTATCTGTATTGTTGCTTTAAAATGCAGCATATTGCTGAAAGGCCACAAGATGTCACTCTTTGTTTATTAGACACTATTTGGTACACTAGCATAATTACTATGCATTTGACTTGCAGACAAAGTTGCCTAACAAAGACAAGGGACCTGAGATCCTAATAAATCACATCTTACTCAGATATTTTATTCCTACATCCTTTTATATCACACAATTTGGCATTTTGGCTCACAACTAAAGCAGAGGTAAGAGAAGCATGTTTCATTTGCTTTCAACTTGAAATGAAGGAAGAAAACCAAAATGAGACAAGGCTAAATTTTCAACTGTTTTTTAAAAATAAGTATAAAAATAAAAGTCAGCCACCAGATATATTTTAATAGTGATTTATATGACATAATTTCATTCTTACACTACCTGTGAAATTCTTATGCCCATTTTAGAGATGTGAGAATTGAGACTGTGTATTTATATGCTTAGATGAGACCATGAACTGCCAGGGTCAGAATGACTTAGTAGATTGTCCCAGGAAAAGATAAGAAATTCCCAGAGACCCAATTTATTGGAGATAATAGCTCACGAAGGCAAGTAGCTCACCTATTAACCTTATAACTATCTAGATTTCCTAGGCACATAAACTTTGCCAGATCCTGGTTCCCAGCTTTGAAAGGCACAACACAACCACTTGAGTCCAGAACTCCAAATCCTGTTACTTTTTATTTCTGTTGTGCCCCTTCAAAGACACGGCAAAGAACCTACCAAGGCAGTTTCCTGCCTTATTGCAGTGAGTTCTAATACAATTGGTTTTGCTCTATTAGCCAGTTGTTAGGTAGCATTTTGAATTCTGCCAATGAGAAGAGAGAAGTCCAGGATCACTAAGATAATTTGCTCTGGGTTCAACAGCTAGAGAATTTTGCAAAGCCCAGTTTGCTCAACCAAGTGTTCAGATGCAAAGTCTGGGCTTTTCCAGACATCTGCTCTGTCTGAGAAGGAAAGAGTATTCTCAGAGAGGCAATGTCAATAAAGTTAAGCCTAATGAATTATTTATACAGTAAAATTTCATTAAAATTAAGTACACAATTATTTTTTTTAAGATTTATTTATTTATTTATTTATTTAACAGACAGAGATCACAAGTAGACAGAGGCAGGCAGAGAGAGAGAGAGAGGAAGAGAAGCAGGTTTCCCACTGAGCGGAGAGCCTGATGCGGGGCTCGATCCCAGGACCCTAAGATCATGACCTGAACCGAAGGCAGAGGCTTTAACCCACTGAGCCACCCAGGTGTCCCAAGTACACAATTATTAATATAGTCAAGAAACTAACACAGTACTTGTCACATAGCTGGTATTTTCTAACTTTTTGGTATTTTTTCATTTTTCTACTCTAGTTTACTGTTAGCATCTAGAATACAAGGAGCTCTTGTATTCTATTGTATTACTATTCTATTGTATTACTATTACTGGTAAAGGAAGGAGATGTACTGTATACATTGATAGTGTAAGAGTTCACATAACTAATTTCTTTTTTTAAGTTTTTATTTTTAAGTAATCTCAATACCCAATATGGAGCTTGAACTCACAACTCCAAGATCAAAAGTCACATGCTCTACCAACTGAGCCAGCCAAGCGCCTCCACATGATTAATTTCTTTCCATTTTCTTTCATTTTGATAAAGTTTGATAGAGTAAAACTAAATGTCCAGATAAGAAAGTATTTTGCTAACATTATTCTTCATCTAGACATGTTTTTCTCATTTCTCCTCTTAACATAACACTAATAATAACCTTGTAGTCCAACCAGAAGTTCCTGAAAAACCTTTGTTCAAATAGGATTCAAAAGGGTTAGTGTTTTTTTGATTAATTTCCTCCTTCCATTGCCATCTCTGACCACCTCTGCTATCTCTGTTATATGATAATGAGCTAACAGTTGTTTACATACTAAAACTTTCTGCCACATATTTCGCTATGTGTTTTTTTTTTTTTCTTTTAGAGAGGAAGAGAGAGTGGGAGGGGGTGGTGAGGGGAAGGCAGAGGGAGAGGGAGAGAGAGAATCCCAAGCTTGCCCCATGCCCAGAGTGGAACCCAACCCAGGACTTAATCTCACAACTCTGAGATCATGACCTGACCCAAAATCAAAGGTGGGACCCCTAACCGACTGAGCCACTCAGTGTCCCCTAAGTGATGTATTTAAATGGAAAAGAATAATAGATACCATTATCATATCCATTTTACACTTAAAAAAACTGAGGCTTAGGAAAGTTAACACACACAGGCTGCTCAGGGTAGGTGGCAGATCCGGATTCAAACCCAGGTCCACCTGCCACCAAAGCCCATTTTCACTGCTGCAATGGACAACACTGCCATCAGCCTGTGACCTTAAAAATGGCTTATGTAATAAGGAGATGGAGGCACTCTAGCAAATATAATCATCGAATGGGTACAATCAATTCATCTCAATGGGAAGCTGAAAGCTCTGTCTGCTACAATTCGATTCTCATCAATTCTGAATGGGGCATATAAATAAAGGACAGTAAGTCAGGATAAAAACATATTTAAAATTTTAAAAACCATCATTTGAACAAATAATGAATTTTTAGAATTGAGCGTACTGCTGTTGGTGAAACTGATGCTCAATCAGTGCCCGGTGAACAACTCGAACTTTCTGGAGGTACATCTCTTCAGAAACTCCTCAAAACAGCCTTCTCTACCCCCAGAAGCAGTTCCCACACACCACTCACCTGTTATGAAGCTGATGGTGGAGCTGTCACAACAGCTCAATTCCGGATCTCCCCATGTTACCATGGTAACTCGGAAGTTGTAGTACCATGCTGGCAACAGATTGGCTATCCTCTAAAAAGAGCAAGGAGACAAAAGACGAAGGGGAAGAAAATCATGTTTTTGGAATTGAGTTACTTTTATTAGGTCATGAAAATAATCAGTAAGTAGTCTTTAATTTTATTTCTGTGCCTTTTTTAGTTCCCTAACTTTCCATTAAAAATTCTTTCTGGACTGAGGTAAGGTGTAAATAGAATGATATGCAAACATAATTTTTAAAAAGATTTTATTTATTTATTTTCGAGAGAAAGAGAAAGAGAGAGCACAAGCAGAGGGGAGGGGTAGAGGGAGAAGCAGGCTCCTTGCTGAGCTGGCAGCCGGACCCATCCCAGGACCCTAAGATCATGGCCTGAGCCGAAGGCGGATGCTTAACTGACTGAGCCACCCAGGCACCCTGCAAACATAATTTTAAAAAAGGGATACATAGGTATAGAGTCAAATATTTTCAATATTGGTTTTGTTTTGCAGTTTCCTAAGTTGTCTTACACATGTGAAGTAGTACTAATTTGTAAGTGATTGTACATACGCATCCCCCTATTTCTAAGAAAATTGGCCTCTCACAACCTCATATTCTCCCAATTTGTACTATAAACGTGCATCCTTGTTGGGAGGCAAATAAGTACTTCATGCGGGACCTGTAGATCCTGCACTTTAGAAAATATTCCAGTCTCAGAAAGAGTAATCTTTACCTGCTCTCTAGAAAAGCATCCTCTAATGGCTTGACATGAGAGGTGTTTAACGGATGTGTGGATGTTAAGAATAGTCATCATTAGTGTTGAATGGTGTCAACGCATTATTGAATGACTAAAGCAAAATTTTTTTGTGTTTTCCTCCTCGGGAGCAGAGAGAAACAATAAGCACTTGATAGCTCTACTAAAATGTGGATACGCTCAATTAGGGGTGAAAGCTTGTTTCACATAATTACTTCTCTCCCCCTTTCTTTTTCTTTCTCTCTCTCAATCTCTCCCCAAAACAAAAATAGTCCAGAAAGCAAAAACAACTAGAAAACTCTTGAAAGTAGCAAGCCCCCCATGTGTATCTATAGATAACTTTATCTGACGTATTTGGCATGGAAAGGCACGTCTGTTTACAGGGAAGTGTGATAGCTACTTACCACGGACGCGGTCAAGGAGACAGTCGCTGCGATTTCATAGTACGTTGTCCACTCTGATGTCATTGTTGCGGGGTTGAAATAAAACATTTCAACAACGTATTTTCTGAACACACCTAAGTAAGGTCTGCTCCAGCTCAGAACCACGGCTGTAGGACCCAAGGGGTAGAGCATCAAATCCTTTATCCCTGTTGGAACTAGGAAGAAGTGGGGAGGGATGAAAAAAAAAAAAAAGAGCCGAGAAGGAATGTTTAATATCTTAGCAATGGCTTCAAACTTCTTCTTAATAACTAGGGTTTTCATTCTTTTGATACGATCATTGAATAAACTGTATTCGCCTCTGATGTTATTTTTTCTGAGTCATATATGCTAACCATATCCTCATGGTATACAATGGTTGTCATTTATTCCTCTGGATGTAAAATATTGGGTGAATAAGTATGGTCCCCCATATATGATGGTAATGACTTGGACCTGGGCATTGGACCCCCACCGCCCAAAAAGTACCCTGATAAAGTTATTCTCGGGTCTGGCAGCTTACCGATAGCAAATGTGACAGGATCTGAAGGTGGTCCAATCAAAGGGCCTTTTCTTAGGTACATCACGACCTGGTACTGGGCACCAGGAACCAGATTTTCAATAATAGATTTGCTTGAGTTCACCTTTAAACCAAACACCCGATATGATTTATTTAGAGCTGGGCTTTTATAATGTGACACAAAAGCTGATATCACATTCAGGGACTCCTTGTGGAGCCACAGATGCCTTTGAAATCCAGAAGCCTTTGCTCGTTCTGGGGAAGGTCAGATTTCAGAATTAGGATGATTTATAGTTTATGAGAACACTGAAGGGAACCCAGAACATTCAAATTCTATGGCTGGATTTAATAAGCCCCGTGAACTGCTTTATACCCATCAATGTCAATTTTAACTACGTACACTGGAGACACATCAGCCTCTAACCATAATCAAATCAGCAATACCATAAGGGGAGGCTGACATCCTAAACTGTAATGTCAGCTAAAAACATACAAAGATCAGTGCAGCAATGTCTTCAGTCTCTCGTCACTTAGAAGCATATAATATCTAATTATAGAGATGGAAATGACCTCAGAGATTATCTGCTCCAAATCTCTCATTTAGTAGATCAAGAAAGTAAAGCCAGGATATGGCCGAGGTCACCTAGTTAGATTCAGCGCTGGGACTGGAAGCCTAGTGCTGTAACCTCTGCAGGCTGCTACAGGCAAGTCACGGGACTAAGCGTGGAGGAACGGCAGTAAGTACTTCTCCAGGCTATTGTGACCCCATAAAAGAATGTGGTAGGAAATATTTCTCATTTAGATGAGCTCTCCTTGCTGTTCTTAAAAAAAAGAAAGAAAGAAAACTCTTGGTTTGACAACAAATGTAATATAGAGAACAGAACAGGTAGATGATTGAAATATTCTTGCTAAGGTTAAATGTTGGTGTTCCCGAGGATTGATGCTTTAGCTTACATGTCAAGGAATGTGTGACTTTGACCTTTAGAACCTCTAATGTTGAAGACAGTCTTGCTTAGTAGAAAGAACACAGGCTTTCTATTCAGACTGCCTGAAGTAAAACCCTGAGTCTACTTCCTTGTAAGAATGGGAATTTATCTATAATTTATTTTTAATGCTTACCTTGGCTTCTTGATTGGTAAACTATAGATAATACTATTCTATACCTCACAGAGTGGCGAGGATGCTTAAACTAGAGTATCAATAAAGTCAACTCATTACTCAGCAATTTTTTGTCCTCTAGGGTGCATAACATGAAATTGCTATGGAAAGAAGCATAAATCAATGGAGAATAGTACCATTGACAGCTTACCTATGCTATAAGGCTTTTTAAAAAATTATTATTAAGCTTCATTATGATTTTAAGAAGAAACAGAATTGGTGATATAATATAAATTTTAAGTCTTTCCAATACCAGAAACTGATTGTACACAATAGAAATTGTACAATTTGAATTGGTAGAACTTGCTCTAAATGTTAAGTGTGTGTGTATGGGGGGAATCGGCATACCATAATTTCTTTACCAATAACTTAGGCAAAATAAAATTAAGTTGAATGAATACATCAGCATTTCCCTCCTATCTTTCCTAATTTACACTCCTATGAGAACTTTTTGCCCATGTTTTCGAAGGTGAATTCTGCTGGAACCGTCTAGGCAAAGTTGGCCAGCTCTCCTCATCAGACAGATCATTTCCTGAAGAGACAAACTATGAACAAGACACGTATATTGTGCAAAACTAAGTAATGCTGTCTTATTTCTTTAAAATCAGTTCCTACATTATAAACTAATAATGCTCATTGTGGAGATTACTCACACAGTAGAAGAGCAAATGAAGTAAATTGGCAATTTTTCTGTCCTCCTCCCCTCATTTCCAACATTTTAGTGGGCCATCTTCCAGACCCTCCTCCACACAGATATACATAAATAATATGATATTGAATCATATACATGTTACATTATTACATCGCTCTGAACTTTTCTTTAAAACTTAACAACACATCAGACAGCTAAGCATTCCTGCTTAACTCATTTAGGATATTTAGAGTAACTGGACAGAAAAAGTGTAGGCTGCTTTAGGGTGGCGTTAGTTTCTTTGGTTGGATAATATTTTAAGCAAGTAATTGATTCCGATTATGCAAATGATTATGTGAAATCAGAGCCACTTAAATATGCCATCATATTTAATACCCTGAGAGTACCATGCTAGTGAAATAAGTTGGAGAAAGATAGATACTGTATGATTTCACTATGTGGGAAATAAAAAGCAAAACAAATGAGCAAACAAAATGAAACAAAACTCATAAGTATGGGGAACAGAATGGTGGTTGCCAGAGGGCAAGGGTTTTGGGTGATGGATGATATGGGTGAAGGGGGTCAAGAGGTACAAACTTCCGGTTATAAAATAAACAGGTCACGGGGATGTAATGTACAGCTCGGTGACTATAATCAGCAATATTGTGTTGTATATTTGGAAATTGCTAGGAGAATAAATCTTTAAAAGTTCTCATCACAAGAAAAAAATCATAACTTTGTGTGGTGAAGGATGGCAACTAGGCTTATTGTGATGATGATTTCACAATGTACACAATGATTGAATCATTATGTTGTACCCCTGAAAATATGTTTGTTCTACATCAATTATCCCTCCATACAAAAAATATGCAATTGTAACAAATTCACCCCAGGGACATTATACTTGTTTTTTAAAAGGTTTTATTGATTTATTTGAGAGAGAGAGAGAACATGGGTGGGGTGGGGGCAGAGAGAGAGGGAAAGCAGACACCCCACTGAGAACGGAGCCATCACCTCCTACCTGGAGCTCAAGGCAGGGCTAAAGGTGGGGCTCGTCACAGAGCTCCATATGGGGTTCTACCACAGGACCCCAAGATTAAGACCCAAGCCAAAGTCAGACGCTTAACTGACTGAGACACCCAGGCGCCCCTACTTTTTTTTTTTTAATAAAGAAGAAACTACATGTATATACATCAGACTATTTTTTAAAAAATCACCTTGGTAATAAATAATAAACACCAACTCCTTCCTGCCACCTCGTTTTTGAATATTTGCTGAGCCACCAGCCTGTATCTATGTCTACCCCTCCATGCCCTTGTATATATCCCAGATCACCTTGGGATAAGCAGATTAAAGGCAGGCAGGAGAAATCCCCCTAAATACTACTTATTAAGTAATATGTATTTTATTCCCCAGAGGATCATTTCACATCTCCTCCCCCAATTTTCATCCCATCTTTGCATTCCACTATTTCCTCTCTCCCATTTCCAATGGGCTTCGTCTCCATTCCAGAGAATTCAGTTCTGCCCAATGCTTTTCTGATGAGGCACCAGTCCTGTTTCTCCCCAGTTAAAGAAATAGGAAGAAAGATGTCTTAGCATAAGAAATACCTGACAGACTATTAAATTGCAGGTTATGTACATTGTCAGAGAACACACAGGGGCCAAAGCAGATCACATATAAAAATAAATATACATACATGTATTAGATGGTTTTTTTAATCCTGAAATTTATGATTGTGTATGAGTCTTTGGAGACAGTATTGAAAGCACATTTGCTTTGAAGAATTGACCAGGTCCTTTATGTTTAACATCGATGGAGCCCAGACTTGATGTTCAACATATATTTATTAATGAATAGCACTGAGATGGTTCTTAGGAGGCATACATCACAAAATACCCTTTTCTACAAACATCTGCAAACAAACCATACACAAAACAAGAACCGGACGTGGAGAGCATATACATGATGAGGACAAACTCAAATTCATGGGTACAATGTACCCACAGGGAAGGCCAGACCCTAAGCATTGTGAACTCAAAGTTCAAGTCAAATTTATTTGATTTCTAGGACGTGACACAGGACTAGCCCAGCACCCAGACATCAGGACTGGTGTCAGGAAGACTAATGGTACTAACATTGGGTCTCACAGATGATCTAGGTGATACATAAAACAGGGTCCTTTGGTATAGTCAGTCATAGAAGCAAAATAGGGAGCGTGAAAGTATAAAATAGTAAAACCTTATATTAACTGTTAATACAGTAGTCCCCCCTTATCTGCAAGAGATTTATTCTAAGACCCCCCCTCCCAGTGGATGCCTGAAACCCTAGGTAGTACTGAGCCCTATGTGGACTGTGTTTTTTTCCTGTACAAACATACCTATTGTCAAATTTACAAATTAGCGGAGTAAGAGATTAACAATAACCAGTAATAAAAACAATTATGACCATATATTGTAATAAAAGTTATGTGAATGAGGCCTCTCTCCAAAGATCTTATTGTACTACCCTTATCCTTCGTATGATGCTGCGAGATGATAAAATGCCCACATGATGAGAGGAAGTGAGATGAATGATGTGACATGTTGTGACCTGTTGTTAGGCTACTGTCAACTTTCTGACTATATGTTGGAGGAAGATCATCAGTTTCTGGCCACGGTAACCATGGGAAACTGAATCCATGGAAAGTGAAACCATGAATGGGGGGAGGGGACACTACTGTATGTGGTTGGCTTTAGAACCACTCTTAGTTTTGAGCTGCATCTTGAATTTTTAAAAAATTATTTTTATTAACATGTAATGTATTATTTGCCCCAGGGGCACAGGTCTGTGAATCATCAGGCTTACACATTTCACAGCACTCACCATAGCACGTACCCTGCCCAATGTCCATAACCCAGCCATCCTATCCCTACCCCCCACCCACAGCAACCTTCAGTTTGTTTTGTGAGATCAAGAGTCTCTTATGGTTTGTCTCCCTCCCAATCCCATCTTGTTTCATTTCTCCCTTCCCTACTCCCCACAATCCCCCGCCCTGCCTCTCGAATTCCTCATCAGAGAGATCATATGATAAATGTCTTTCTCTGATTGACTTATTTCACTCAGCATAATGCCCTCTAGTTCCATCCATGTCATTGCAAATGGCAAGATTTATTTCTTTAGATGGCTGCAAATAGTACCCAGTAGTGCGATTGCTGGGTCATAGGGTAGCTCTATTTTCAACTCAACATCCAAAGAACAAATAATCCAATCGAGAAATGGATAGAAGACATGAACAGACATTTCTGCAAAGAAGACATCCAAATGGCCAACAGACACATGAAAAAGTGCTCAAC